ATTCTAATGTGCAGCCAAGGTTGAGAACCAGTATCTTAGAGGATACATTAATTTGGATAGAGGTTAGTCTTCCCCAGCTGCTATAACTCAGGGTTCCCAGAATTTAACTCAAAGACTGACTCCTTCCTTCCCTCCCAGTTACTCATCCATCAAAATGCTATTTTCAATCATTTCACTACCACCAAAATCTAGACATTGCTTAGAGTTGGCCTAATTACACTCAAGATATGTCTAGAACACCTGGTTCATGCACTGTGTTCACTGCACTAGAACAAAAAGTTCAGGACACTTTCCATACCCAACCCAAAGTGGAGACTTCTCCCTGGTTTATCCAGGATCCAAAAGTGGCTACTAAGCAGTTTTCCATGTCAGGCTTTTCTCACACTTCAAGAACATAGCCCCTGAGTGCCTGGCCCCTGCCACCAACCACAGCTTAATTTAAAATTAACTCCCACGGAAGGAATTGCAGTTTCCCTTAGCCCCAGACTGCCTTGGCTCAGGGCATTTTCACATGAGTGCACCCATCTGGAATCTCACCTCCTCCCTCCTTGTTTTCACTTGTTCTGTAGGTATTGGAGGACATCTCACCATCTTCCTGATGTGAGTGCTGCTCCTAGCCTCTACCATTCTTTGGGTAGCGGTGTGTCTTGCTTATCCTAGTATCTCCACTACTGACACAGTGCTTTCCAAAGAGGACATATACAATTAATGTCTGGCAAATAAATGAGTAGGTGAGCATTTGCAAAATTCCTTTATTAACATTTTCTATGATTACACCAACTTTCTTGAATAAGTCAAGGAAATCCAGATATATATCTTTTAATGTCACAGAATAAACTGAAATGGTTAAGGAATCCAAAAATTAACCACCTGTTACATTTCCCTGCCTCTAATTTCTGCAGGCTTCTTTCGCATTTCCAAGGAAATTCCCATTCCAGTGTCATCATATTTTCTTCCAGATCACAAAAGAAGGAAGTTTCCCCAATTTATTTTTTAAAATATCAAAACTCATTCTTAAACCCGAAAAGCAACAATGCATGTGAGACCACTTTCATTCATCAACTTAGATTCTAAAGCTAATAAACCGTCCATGAAAAGGAACAGCTTTTAAGAAAAACCCAAAGGAGGGGGAACAAAGGATAAACCTCCAAGCCATCAACAGAGAACACAAAGCTGTTGTACACTGTATTCTTCCCAGCCTGACCCAGCCTCTGACTCTCCTCTACTTAGAAATGTGAATGCCCTTTTCAAACACAGAGTGAATATTCGTGCTCATTCTTCCGTTGGGGAAGGAGAGGCTGTGCCATGAACATGGCAGCAGCATGACCCACAGGGCCAATTCTGGCCTGGGCTCTCTCTTGCTCATCTCTTAAAGCCTCCTCATACCAGCATGAGAAGGAAATGGGGTCAGTCCCTTTGATCTTGGCCAAAAATTCCAGAACTTGCAACTTGCTGGTTTCAGCATGGGCCCTTGGACCCCACATAAATTGGTAGCGTGGTGGATCACTATTAAGCACCTGCTGGTACTCCAGGTAATTCTCCTGCACCCATGTTCTAGTGATGAGATTCCTAGGCTCCCCATAAATGAAGTGCTCCCTACCAGCATAAACTCCCATCATATTCAGGAACTCCCAAATGTCTTCCTCAGGGGCACAGTTGCCTTCTAGGAAGATCATACCCAGGATGATGATCAGGAGGCCGTTTCTAGGCATGCTCTGGTGGTCACTAAGCATCTCATCATAGGTGAGATTCAGTGAGTTGACAAGGACATAGGAGTGGGTGGCAGGAATCACTTCCTTCACATCAATGCCACAGATTACCTCCAAGCACTTACAAGCTTTCTTAAAAATCACAGAGAATTGACTCTTGTCCCTTTTGTTAACAACGTGTAGCATCTCTGCCTTTGTAATAGGCTTCCTCAAACGATACCTGAGGATCAGGGCATGCACCAAATTGGTCACATTCTCATCTATGCGGTCGCTATGCAGAGACTCGGGGTCTGCTGAGGTCTGCAGAGAGCTTGTATCCTCGTCTTGGTTGCTGGAGCCTCCAACTGATGTGCTCCATGCCATGGATCTCTGAGGACTCTGGGGAGGTCTTGATGTCTCAGAAGCAGGCTGCTCCTGCTTCTCCTTCTCCTCCTCCTCCTCCTCGTCCCCCTCCTCCCACCACTCCTTCACAGCCTTCTTCTCCTCTTCCTGCTCCCCCTGCCCCTTCTCCTCTGCCACCTTTTCCACCTCCTTCTCCTCTCCCTCCTCTTCCCTCTCCTCCTTTTTGTTTTCCTTCTCTTCTTCCTCCCCCTCCTCCTCCTTGTTTTCCCCCTTCTTCTCCTCTTCCTTCTCCCCCTGCCCCTCCTCCTCTGCCACCTTTTCCACCTCCTTCTCCTCTCCCTCCTCTTCCCTCTCCTCCTTTTTGTTTTCCTTCTCTTCTTCCTCACCCTCCTTCTCTGCTTCTGCTTCACCCTCCTCCTCCTTGTTTTCCCCCTTCTTCTCCTCTTCCTTCTCCCCCTGCCCCTCCTCCTCTGCCACCTTTTCCACCTCCTTCTCCTCTCCCTCCTCTTCCCTCTCCTCCTTTTTGTTTGCCTTCTCTTCTTCCTCACCCTCCTTCTCTGCTTCTGCTTCACCCTCCTCCTCCTTGTTTCCCCCCTTCTTCTCCTGTTCCTTCTCCCCCTGCCCCTCCTCCTCTGCCACCTTTTCCACCTCCTTCCCCTCTCCCTCCTCTGCTTCCTCCTCCTCCTCCATCTCAGTCTCCTCCTTCTCCTCTTCCTCTTCTTCCTTCTCCTTCTCCTCTCCCTCCTCTTCCCTCTCCTCCTTTTTCTCCTCCTTTTTTTCCTTCTCTTCTTCCTCACCCTCCTCCTCCTTGTTTTCCCCCTCCTTCTCAGCCTCCTTTTCCTCTTCCTCCTCTAAGCTGCCTGGGATTACAGGAGAGGATGGAGGGGAGGGGGAGGGGGAGGTGGAGGGGTAGGAGAAGGTGAAAGAGCAAGAGGAAATGGAGGAGTTCTCCTCCTCGGGTATGGGAAACATTATCTCACTTTGGGCCTGAAAGTTTGGCTCAAATGTGAGGCGTGGGCGCTTTGAGGAGTGAGACATGATGACTCTTGTTGTGGGTAGCAGGTGGAAGTGTGAGCAGGATTATGGGAGATGGGTTCCCTGGAGCCTGGGGGAGAGAGGGAGAGAGTCAGTGGCCTCAGCAGAGATGCGCACCCTTGGCAGCTCTGACAAATACTGACTTACAGGTCTTCTATTTAGGAGGTGCTCTAGGGCCTCACTGGGCTCCTGTCTTCCTGGATGGTTTGTCTCCCAGGAACCTGTAAGATGATGTGAGAAAGCTCCTCAGGGTGTAGCCAGCCAGCACAGCCCAGGGCTTCTAGGGCTGACTGTGAGCAGGTGGTGTTGGGGACTGTGTGGAGACTTTGATAAACATTCAGGGTATGTTTCTCATATTGTCTCCTCGCTCTGCCTGGGCCTCCTCTGCTCTGCTGCCCCGAGGACACGTACCTCACACAGAGGCCCTCTCCTCACAACTGCTATCTGAGGGTTACCTGCATCCCTCACATTGATGCCTGGTGGGGCCTGGGACACCTCCCTCTGCTGTCCTGGGTACTGACCATTCAGAAGAAGCCCTCACCTCTCTGAGACCATCTAGAACAGTGGTTCTCAACCTTCCTAATGCCGCGACCCTTTAATACAGTTCCTCATGTTGTGGTGACCCCCGATTTCACTGTTACAAATTGAAGATAATTAAAGCATAGTGATTAATCACAAAAACAATATGTAATTATATATGTGTTTTCTGCTGGTCCCAGGCGACCCCTGTGAAAGGGTCATTCGACCCCCAAAGGGGTCGTGACCCACAGGTTGAGAACCGCTGATCTAGAAGAAAGTGAGGGTGCGCTGTATCCGGCCACTGTGCCTCGGGGCCTCCCAGATCTCACAGCAGGGGAAGGGTAGAGCTGGGTATGCCTTAAGTCCTACGGTGAGGGTGTGCTGCCCTCAGTGCTCACTCAGGGTCCTTACCTTAAATCCTGGCAGACTCTGGAACTCGTCCCTCTGCTGACCTATTGTGGATCCCCCTCAGACCACTGCCTCCTTAGAACAAGGCCCTCATCTCCCTGAGAACCCCTGGGCAAAGGTGACAAGGCTCCACTTCTTGCCACCGCTGTTAAGTCCTTCCAGTGCCGATGGCAAGGGCTAGACCCCATCAGTTGGATGGTGGGCTATCCTCAATCCTCTTTCATGGTTTTCATCTTTATGGGTGATAGGTCCTGGGCCAACCCCTGCTAACTGGACATCACCCCCTCAGAAAATGACCTCACCTTGCCGAGACAGCTCCCGCACCCTTGGGAAAAGTCAGAGCATATTATATCCAGCCAACCCTGCCTGGGTCCTGCCAGAGCTGAGAATGGAAAACAGCCAGGCTCTGCACAGTCTCTTCTTTCTGGGGTGGGAATTACCTTTGGTCCTCACCAAGGGTCCTTTCCTGCACCCCTGGTAGAGCCGGGACTACTTCCTCTTCAGGCCTGATGTGGCTCCCACAGCTGACCGGCCTTCGTATGCACACCGAGGCCCTCAACTCCCTGAGACCGTCGCCAAGACAAAAGTAAAGGGACATCACATCCAGCCATCCCTGCCCGGGGTCTCCCAGGACTGACAGCAGGGATGGGGGTTCCCTCTGTCATCCCTCAAGGTATTCCTCCTTGCTCCTGGCAGGGCCTGGGCCCACCTCCTCCAGTGGCCTGAAATCAGCCCCTCAGACCAAGGCCTCACCTTCCAGAAACATCTCCGCCCACCCCATGCAGGAAGTGAGGGAGCACCACATCTCAGAATTACTGTCCAGTTCCTCCCAGGGTGGATATTGGGAACAGGGTGGTGTTTCTGTGAGCAACTCCCATTCTGTCTGAGTTAGGGGGTACCCTTAGTCCCCCTTCAAGGTCCTTATCTTACCTTGACGCCTCACAGATCCTGGGATTCTTTCCTCTGCTGATGTCACTAGCTCAGACCAAGGCCTTCACTTCCCAGGGACACTGCAGGCAAAAGGAAAAAGACACCAAATCTAGACACCCCTGCCTGAGGTCTGTTCTGGCATGAGGAATATGGTCAGTCCTCCCTCAAAGAATTTATTCATCTGTATTCCAAGCCAGGTCTGTCCTGCCCTCCTCTGACCTGAAGCTCCTCCTCCAGCCACGACCTCACCTTCCTCAAGCACTCCATCACCTTGACTCCAGGTAGAGCTCCTGGCAAATGTGAGAGTTTTCCCATCTGGCCATGCCAGCTCAGATCCTCCCAAGGATGAGATTCTGTGGGGTCCATCTTTTGGGGGAAAGGGGCCTTCAGGCCTCACTAAGGGTCCTTACCTTGATGCCAGCCAGAACCTGAGACTCTGCCCTCTTCTGAGCTGCTGTGGCTCCCCCTAAAACGGTCGCCTCCTTAGACCACCTCTCTGAGACCTTCCTCCAGACAAAAGTAAGGAAGTGCCACATAGGGCCAACATTGCCATGCTCTCCTGGGGTTGGCAGGAGGGGAAGGGTGGGACTGGGGCCCTCGAGCTATTGGGGGTTTCCAGGGCAGACTGAGGCCACATCTACCTAGGGTGGGAGACCTTCTCGCCCCCTTCTCACAGCCCTCTGCTTGATGCCTGGCAGGACCTGCCTGTATCCTCTATAACTATCCTGAAGTCACAAACCTCAGAAAAAGCCTCAGCTCCCCCAGATTCCCAAAGTGGATGTCAGAAAAGAATACATTCGGTAACCTTCCTGTGTGGCCTGCCAGGCCTGACTGCAGGGGCATTTCTGTGAGATCCCTCTCCATGGGGTGAGAGGTCCTCCCCCGGAGTCTTCATGTTGACACTTTGCAGGGTGTGATAGCCTCCCTCTGCTGAACTCAGGCCACACTCATGGGAACAAGGTCTTCACCTTCATGAGACACCCCCATCCCCCGTGGAGGGGGTAATGAAAGAGGGCTACATTCAGGGACCATGCCCCTAATCCTCTCATTTTGACAGCAAGGGCAGAGAGTGCCTGGGTCCTATCTGTTGTGCTGTAGGGAGTGCTCTCAGTCCTGACACTGGCAAACCCCAATTTGGGCCTCAGACTCTACCCTCTGCAGGCTGCCCTGGCTCTTTCAGAGCTAGGTTGTCTCTCCCTTGAGAACCTCCAGATAAAAGCAGAGAGAGCCCACATCCTGCCACTCCTGCCCTGGGTGTCCTAGGGCTGTGACAGGGGCTGAACACTCTCTGTCCTACAGTGTGTGTGTGTTGGGGGGGGGGTATATATTCTGTCCTCCCACAGTCCCTCAATGTATTCAGTGCCTCCTCAGATCAAGGCTTCACTCCCAAGGGGCAAGCGGCAAGCCCCACAAGTTCCTGGAAGAAGTGAGGAAATACCACATGTGACTGCTACTGCCTGTGTCTTCCCATGGTTGACAGGGAGTGGAGTGGGGTGTTTGTGGAGCCCCTCTGTCTGAAGTGAATGGTCCCATCATCTATCCTCAAAGTGTTCATATGTATTCCTGGCAGGTCCGGCATCTCCTCGCTTCTACTGGCCTGAGCATGTTCCCTCAGCCCAGGGTCACTGTGTCCCTGAGTTGGCAGAAAAGGAAGTCAGTGGTGGATAAAGAGGGGCGTCTGTGCTCCACAGCCCTGCCCGAGGCTTCTGTGAGAGGCAAGCTATTGTGAGACCCCCACAATCTGGATTCCCAGGTCCTGTCACTCCTGCCTCAAGGTTCTCATCTTGAAGCCTGGCAGGGCCTAGGCCTCCACCCTCTACTGACCTGAGTCTGCACCACACCCCTCAGAAAAAGCATCATACTCAGCCAGACTCCCAAACGCCCTCTGATTAACAGAGGTAAGCACAAAGGGAAGCCTGGGGCCGTGTGCTGTCTGTGCTGTGTGTGTGTGTGTGTGTGTGTGTGTGTGTGTGAGAGAGTGTTCCTGTGCGTGCGAGCGTGCGTGTGGTGTGTGTGTGTGTGTGTGTGTAGGCGCTAGTGCGAGTGAGTGCATGTGAGCGTGTGTGTGGTGTGTGCTGTGTTTGCACGAGCAAGCACGCGTGTGTGGTGTGTGTGTGCGAGTGAGCGCA